CTTTCATATTTAGAGACAGTCGTTGTCGGTGGGCCCACTTGCCCATGTCTCCAAGTGGCAACCATTTGGCCCATACTTTAAATTTTATTTACTATTCAAATCGGAAAATGAATCTCTCTACTAAACATTCTCTTAGAGTCTGTTTAATTTACTTATTTAATTTTTAATCCAAGTTAATATGTGATTTTATATAAAAAAAAATTTATTGTAGTAAAAAAAATTAAATATAATTATTTTTAAAAAAATTTTATTGTAATAAAACTCAAATCGATGAAATAAATAAAGTCTTAAAACATTACCTATGTTCAATATTATCCACACCTTATAAACGCGTGAAACATTTGCCATTTGTTCACGTCTAAACCAAGAAACCATGAATCGGAAACGAATCTCTCTACTAAACATTCTCTTAGAGTCTGTTTAATTTACTTATTTAATTTTTAATCCAAGTTAATACGTGATTTTATATAAAAAAAATTTATTGTAGTAAAAAAAATTAAATATAATTATTTTTAAAAAAATTTTATTGTAATAAAACTCAAATCGATGAAATAAATAAAGTCTTAAAACATTACCTATGTTCAATATTATCCACACCTTATAAACGCGTGAAACATTTGCCATTTGTTCACGTCTAAACCAAGAAACCATGCACATTTGAAATAAAAAATTTAAAAATTTGGAGAATTTTTTTTTAATAGAGTATGAAAAAAGTCTCTTACTATAGAACACTGTTTTCTTTTTTCGAATAGTTTATCTAATGACTGCTTCGTTATTAATGATATTTAAATACTTATTTTTTTTCATGGTGGTCTGTACGATAATATTCCTTTCAGTGGGGAATAAAATAGCTAGTAGCCCACCTTTAATTAAATTTGCTTTCTATAATTCTCAGTGTTGTTTAGGGTATAAAGGCTGTCCCGTCATTTGTAGCATCTACTGTTATGGCTAATTTTAATTTTTTAGTAGACGTTTGATTTACAGATTTAAAATCATAATTTAAAATTATTTTTAATTTATGTTTATTTTTTATGAGAAAAAATATTGTAACGAGTCACGAATTATGATTCGAATCATAACATGAATCATCATACTAAACACCTTCTTAATTACATATTAAAATTTATCCACAAAAAGAAAAAAAAAAGAACGCATTTTTTTTAATTATATTCTGCAGTATGAAAGAGGTAATATAAACATCAATCCACACCACCCAATTTCTTAATACATAAAAATAGCACACACAAACCCCACCAAAATATTAAGAAGGTGTTTGGTATGAGAATTCATATCATGGTTCGAATCATGGTTCGTGACTCGTTATAGTGTTTTCTCTCACAATAAATATACATAAATCGAGAATAATTCTAAATCATGATTCTGAATCGAAATAAAAAACACCGTTATTACTCATTACAATACAAGCCCAAACCGTGACTGAACTGAAAATTGCAAAGACGATCACAAACAATAACAACAAAGCCGCAAGAAGACGACCATTATAACCTAAAACAACAGGAAAAACCCGTATGTTACGAATAAGACTTTTTTTTAATACCCTCCACCACGTAATTCTCCCAAAAAAGAAAATTATATATATAAATATATATATATATATATGTAGCTAGAGATATTTGCTTTGACTGAAGTCAGCGTTGACTGTTGCTATGGGTTTAACTTGCATATGACGAAAGAAGAAAGTGAAGGTCAACGAATGGGGTTTCATTAGGGTGATAATAACATGCAATTATTAAAAAAAAAATGATAATCACTACAATAATAAAGGCCATTTGCGACGACATTTGTCATCGCAAATAATACAATATTTGTGGCGATATGTCGTCGCAATTACTCCCCGTTAAATAAAATAATCATGTCGTCACAAATAACCTAAATATCGTCGCAAATAACTTAAATGTCGTCATAAATAATTTTGGAGCGCAAATTTCAATAGCGCGGATTTTTGCCGCTAAGGTAATCTATTTTTGCCACGACAAGTTGTCGCAAATAACAAGATATTTACGACAACATTTTTTCTTTGTCGTCACAAATAATCTTTTTAAGATTTCACCAAAAACTAAAGGCGGGAAAAATGATTATTTACGATGACTTAAAAATTATTTGCGACGACATAATGTTGTCGTAAAAAATTTCACCTATTTGCGACGACAATGTCGTCGGAAATAAGTTTGATCTAATATACCCTATCTTCTTCTTCTTCATTTTCCCACGACGTTTTCTCTCTCTCCTGTAAAATCTCTCTCTCTCTCTGCATCCTCTTCCCGTCGCTGCCACCGCCGGCCCTCTTCTCTCTCTTCCCTTCTTTCTCTCTCTCTCTCTCTTCTGATCCCTTCTCTCTTCTTCCCCTCTCTGGCAGCCGCCGGCCCTCCCGCCACCCGGCCCCCGCCAAGCCTGCTCAGCTCACCCAGCCCTACTGCGACTGCGCCAACGAGGGTTCACTTTCCATCTTCACCGAGTTCTCTCCCATGGCCGATCCCTCCTTCCAGCCCGGCCACCCCAGCCAAGCCGTCGTCGAGCTTGGCCGCGTTGTCGACCGAGGCCTTAGGTAAATGATGAATTCATCCTTAGCTGTTTTTTTTAATGAGTCAATTTTATGAAAAAAATTGAATTTTGATTTCTGTTGATTGGAGTGAATTAATGGAGTATAATGTGCTTCCGAGGAGGCACTTGCCCACGCGCGGGGTGACACTGGCGCGCGCGCGGGGCGGCAC